ATAAGGACTGTTGAATACCAAATTCTATGCATGCTCAGGATTTGCCATTGTCAAAGAACAAGAAGAGATAGGAATATGAGGAAAAAAAGAATTGACGACAGTGAAGAAACGAAAAGGAAGAGATAGTAATGAAATGGAAAGGAAAAGAAGTGGAAGTAACGAAAAAAGAAGTAATTTGAAATTTTTAATTTTTGTATTGCACGTGATTGGAAATTTTTGATGAATTCATAACAATACATTTGATTACACTACTAACTCAAAAACTAGTTATTTAACAAGTTTAATACGAGTTTAGAAAAATAAATATTTTTTTGTTGAAAAAATTGCCTAAAAAGAATCAAAATTTACGAAGGATTGGGTGATCAAAATACATCCACGTTTGGTATAGACAAAATTTAAAATCAACAATTAATTTTAATTATATATTTTAGGGGACACATAAAAATAAATTTTAATCTCAACCAAACAGGGGCTATATTGTGTCGATTCACGTCGCCTTTATTTATGTAAGCTAATTATTTATGTAATTGATTGTATGAATAATATCTTCATAATTAAGAAAATAAAATATGTCACCGTCAGATAATTATAAATTTGAATTTGTAGAATCAATTAATTTGATGCTTTTGACAATTATTGTGATCAAAGCAACGTAAAAATGGATTTGGCATCAAGAGAGAGAGAGAGACCTCACTTCCCCTCACTTCACTTCACGAGAGAGAGAGAGAGAGACCTCACTTCCCCTCACTTCACCTCACTTCACTTCACGAGAAAATATAATTAGTTCTCACTTTAGTTTACTATATATGGTAACATATTGCCGACGTTTTAAAATTGAGATATACATTGTGTAGAGCTTTCCTATGTGTACATTGTGGGATTCACGGAGTTTTTACAAGGCAAAGCATTTTTTATTCGCGGTGACAAAAACAAGGAAAAAAGGCATCATATATGTGTTGTCAACACATCTCCTATATATTGTACATGTAAGTAAGTCTCCTGTACAAGTGGAATTACTCCATCGTACTTGCATATCATAAGGTTCCACTCATTACCATAGTCAGCTAGAATCTGGCAATCCACATTTAAGTGTGATAGTCGAAAAATATAGTTAAAGTATAGGTTTCAATATGCAGTCGAACTTAAATTGCACAGCACTTATATAATACGCATTTCGCACGTGTACGTACGTGATCATAAAAGGTGGAGGTACACCCCTTTCAT